ACGGGACTGTGCCATGCATGGCTTGTTTTTTTGTGTACAGAGTGACTTTTGCCATTTCACTGTTTCATTTCAAGGGTAACATGGTGCATGGTCCTTGACGCAGTGCGTGTTCTCTGCCCGACTATACGCCATGAATGTCGCTAGCCATGAGTCTCAGAGGCACTAAAAAAACGTTCTGTAATCGTGTTCATTGGAAAACAAAACAAATCACTAATAAATTTATGAAAACAGCTCCTTTTTGAATCGATCTAAAAGTACTCTTTTAATTCGCGCACCAAAAACCAATAATTTCCGTTTTTACGCTATTAATTCGTGCACTTAAAAAAATAATTATTTTTACTACTGCGAATTAATCGAGTTTTTACGGTACTATTGGCTATAATCTCTCCAATACAGACAGAGAAACTTGTGGATGTATTTGAGATTCTGGGTGATGTGTTGTTGCATCACCACCATAGTAAAGGTAATATATCAGAGAATATGGTGGAGCATGATATCATACAACATAGGCTGGCATTTATCATGATTTCTATGTATGTCACGCAGTTTATAGAATCTCTTCTACCCATTGACAAGGTAAGTATCATTGATGGATTTCATGGATTTTATGGATTACTGCTCCACTTCCTTCACTTTACTTTTTATGATTTTGTGTAAACTATTTAGAATGCATTGTATTTATTAATTAATTTTGTTTGTTTATTTATTTATTTATTTGTTTATTTATTTATTCGTTGTTGCAACCTTTTTGAGTCAGGTGTTCACTATTTAAATAGGAGCTGCATAAATCAACTGTGGCATTACATACAAAAACAACAAAAATTGGATCAAGTTTAGAATTTGAAAAAAAAAATACAAAAAAGTAAATTGAGCCAAAAGTGTGCTTGAGTAATTTTAAACTTGTAATCTGTATACTGTATATAGTAATAATATTTAATTAAGGATGCGGTAGTTATTTTCGTGAATTTTGCTTTTTTTGTTATTACTTTTGTAAAAGTTATTGGGCTCATAATTTTATCAAAATTAAAACTGAAACACATCTAGAATACCTTTTTTTTTTTTAAAATAAGAAAAAGTACTTGCATAACGGATACTGTACACTTTGTTTTTGAGATAAAAGTCTGGACGCAAACAATAACATTGACTTATTGCGTAATTTGCATAATCGCTTCACGACGGAAACAGTGCACACCGACGATGACGCGGTCATATCAACTCCGGCTCCTGATTATTGATCAATCACAAAAAAGAGGCCCCCAAGGAAAAACTCAAAACGCAGTTCAGAGGAAGCGAAATTTTACCTATAACAGAAACGCATTGCTGACAGTACAATGGGGTTCACACTTCAAGAGGGTAAAATTTCGTCAGCAAAACATGATCAATTTCCATCTTCCAAAAAGTCGAGCAGACAATTTAATATCAACCGAAAATCTGTATTGGTCCAACGAGCAGTTGGGAGAGGTTGGCGAAGTTTGCAAAACTAGTGTCTTATGTGGGATTGTCACCCATCAACAAAGGTCCGTACACGAACGCCTTTTCCGAAGTTGCGGTGGAAGTCGAGTGTCTGCTAGAATAAGACAAAACGTCGGATGTTGTTGAGTTAACTAGCACTAGGGGGTTGGCGTTTAGGCATTTCAACCTCTTTCTCCGGTTACTATGTAAGCGTTTGTTTTACAGACCATGCTTCGCATGTAAACATGATTTGAATATATAATGAGATGACGTCATTTATCTCTCTAACTGCTCAAATGCGGGGCCGCTGTGTACTGTAACAACTTCGCTTTTTTTTGGAGGACGAATACGGACCCAAAACTTTATAGTTTTGGATTTTAATACTGCAAGGCTACTAAGTGACTCCATGTTATGTGTTTTGTTGTAAAAATCAGTCCATCTGATGCTTTAAATGTCCAAAATTAGCACAACGTTTGAAGCATTTTTTGATAACTTCTCACAATCAAAAATAAATGGCTTTTAAATTCCTTGTCTATGGGTGAAATAACAGGAAAAATGTAAATTGATGTCATTGTAAACAAATATGCAATCTATGTTCTAACACTTTCGAGGCATTGACGGGGCTGATGCTGCCTTGATTTTTCAGCTTTCTTTTTTTTACAAAACCCCTACGGTTTTCATACAAAACTCATTTTTATTCAAAATAACACCTCTATGTTTACTTAGTAATCACGTGACTAATTTGTGGTACATGTCGCACATCATTTTTTTCAAAAAGCCAGGAACAAGGGCTTCAAGAAAATATATAATTTGCTATGCTTCAAAAAACTTTTCCTCATGAAAACAGTTTTTACTTTTTAGAGCATGCTAACTCTACCGCATCCTTAATACCCAATAATGATAACAATAAGAAACACTGAAAAATGATAACAAAAGTAAGCCACACACAAAAACAAATACAGAGAAAAACAAATGGTAAGAAAAAATATATATATATTGGGTAAAAAGGAAATCAGAAAATAGCTTACTGCAAGTCTAGTCTGATTTCCAATATACACTGGAAGTAAATTATATAAAGTCAACACGTTCACGCAACGATTCCTATTCACAAACACAAACAAGCACAATAAAGTGTGCAGCGGCCATTTCCCAACTCAACATCCTATTCCTATCCATGGTACGAGGCCTTGATGCTCAATAATGTAATACATTATCACGAATAATCTGTGGCAATGACGTCATAAAATTTGCTGGTATGGACAATGCTATAATATAATAGTAAATACATTGTATACACTTCAATGTTTGTTGCCATCATTGTTTCTATTTGTATTTTTTTACAGGCTAGTGATGTCTTACCAGAGAGTTTGAACTCTGCCTTGTGTCTAGTTGTTATGGATTATACGTTATGTCTTACATATCCAAACATTAAGGATATCGCCTTGAAATATATCACTGAAACAAATAGTGATCAGTATGAGATCTATAACTCAGCTATGTCTGTATATGATTCTATGCAGTCAGCATGCAAGTTTCTCAAAACATGCGACTATCAGGTATTAGACATTATTTTATTATTATTTTATTTCTATCTTTTGCATCTAGCTGCATTTTCTTTGAAACATGCATTCTAGAGTAGAGTGGGTTCCTGTAATAGTCACCATTTCGATCATCTGGTGATGACTGAAGTTATCATGTCGCACAATTGTTATGGAAAATGACACTAACCGGTAAAATCACCAGTGAGAGGCTGTCAGAGGACATTCCACCCAGGGGCCCCAAGGCAGAATTTTTGATGTTTGCTTGACAAAACTGGATTTCAATAGGTTGTGCTCTCTGGTCACTCAGGTGCCATCCTGTGGCCACCTTTTTCCACTTGCAAGTAATATAATGTACAATGTTGGTGTATTGCGTATAAACTATGCTTTCAGTGTCCACATTTTGGTGATGGCCATTACAAATTTACATCAATGACACAGCAAATATTTTATCAATCAAAGACAAATAGAGATGTGCTTATAAATGTGTGGAGCACTTTACAGAAACTAAAAGAGTCCAATACACAATTGTATATACCAACTATACTAAGTAATCTCTTCATGCTTGTATTTAGTGTGATGTCTCAGTTCAGGTACAGATCAGCATGGCAGAAGAAGCCTTACATAGCATACCATATCATTATCATATGCCATTGGTGGAAAAATTCATTCACTTATGTTCTGATATGTAAGTATGATGTATCATCTCGAGCATTCTTTTTTTTGTTCTTCTGCAATAATTGTTTGCAAGAACCACTTTATTGGTATACTTGATGTAGTAAATTACTCGCATTACTTTATGCGTATTAAAGCACAGTGTCTCTCTTTCATACCGTGACTCACTCTTCTAAACATGAATGTATCTGTCTTTAATCTGTCTTCAATCTGTCTTCAAATAATAGATTGACGACATGTGTACTTGATGTAGTAAATTACAGTATTGCTTACTCGCATAATGTGTATTAAAGCACAGTTTTTGACTCCCGTGTGCAAAGCATGCAATGGGAGTCTTTGTATTACCCTGTCTGTATGTGTGTGTGTGTGTGTGTCTGTCCATTCCACTGATATCTCAAGAACCGTATATTGGTTTTTAATGAAACTTGGTGTATAGATGCTCTGGGTTAATGCGCAGATTTGATTAGGTTTTGGTTGAAATCCGTACATATTAATTACCTGATTTGCATGATAATTAACTTTCGTAATTTTTGCAGACTCTAATATGCCTAAGTCTCAAAAAAAGACGAAGAACGTCCCGCCGACGGAACGTAGGACATGCTCTACCTGCTTTTCTGCAGTCTCAGGGTAGGACTCGGGAGGACCTTGGGGGGGTTGAGATATTGCCTGTATCTCCACTACCTCCACCACCAGGGCTAGGGTCAAGTTGTTTCCCTTTCTCCCAGTGATCTCTCCTTTAGAGGGTCAGTGGGGGACAATTCACATCAGTGGGAAGGGGAGAGCCCACTTATTTTATAGAAGGGGGCCCTCTCCCCGGAATGGATCGCCTTACGTGTCCTCGCCCGTAACCAACCACCCCCCCCCCCCAAGCTCGGGCTGACCAGGCATTATTTTCTGTGTCTTCCCAAGTCGTGCAGAGTGTCCCCTCTTTTGACGAGGCGAGGGAACTCCAGTGTTGGTACTCCTGTACAGGGTAGTACGCAACCCTCTTATGGGGGACAGCGACCACTTCCCTGACAGGAGGGGGGGCGGGCACTTTGTTGTTTCTCATCCCCACTTTGGCGGGGCAGTCACAGGATACCCAACCAACCGGAGCCCAGCCCAGTTCAGGTCGCAGCTTGTGAACCGTGCAGTGACAGCCGCGAGACTTTTGTTTTACATGGGGCCGGTGGTAATCAGGACCCCCCCCCCTCCCGGGAGTCTCCTTTGGACCCACTTTCATCGGCGCTCTCCACTCCCACTCCCGCCGGCCAACTCCCCTGGGCACCTTGTGTGACCCAGGCTATGGAAGGAGCTCAGAGGGCGATGGAGGGGGCGATTGGTACCCTTCGGGGGAGGACAAACAGCTTGAACCTGGTTTCGGAGCGGTCACGTCCAATGCCTTCTGTTGGGCCAATCGATTCCCCATTGGGGCTAAGCGAACCGTCGATGGTTCCCCTGAGTGGGACACTCGCGTGGTACCACAGCCTTCTCCATGGGTTCCCTGACCTGATCCCGGTACCCATACTTTTGTTAAGGCAGGTAGTGCGGATCGGGGAGGCCACGTTGCGTGGTCATTTGACCGGCACCAGAGCTTACTAGTGCATAGGGCTTTACGGGCAGAACTTAGACCCATAATTTTTTTAGAATGGGTTTCCCTTGCTAAGTTCCGACCGTCTGGATGCTCAGCAACAAACCTCGATCCTCGGGCAGATGGGCCAGTTCCTGGTGGCTCAGAGAGTCGCTATGTGCAATAAGTCCATACTGCCCTCTTGGCAGGAGTGGTTTCGGCTGAGCGTGAAGCAGTTCTGGGTCTGTGCGCCTATCCTACTCTAGTGAAAGACGAGTTTGATCTCCTGCAGAAAAGGCCTTGGGGGGCATGACTGGCTATTTGGTGGCCGGTTAGTGGATGCGGTGAATGGTTTGGCGGTTGCGGAAGATCAGTGTATCCAATTGAAGCAATCGTCTCTGTTGGCTAAGGTAGCTAGTCCTTTTGGTCAACGGGTCAGACCAAAACCGCAAGACAGCCCAGGTAGTAAGTCCGCCATGGTCTCCTTCGAAGGGGCAGAAGAAGACTAGGAGCGAGAAGCGTCAACGAAACCCAAGAAACGTGGCGTTAGTGCTTGGCGTTCTGACACTTCTAGGGACTGGGGGGGCGCGAAGTCTCTTTGAAGGTTTTGCCGGCTGCCTAGATATAGATGGTGGTACGACTCTGGGTCTCCCTCTCCGGGGTCCCCAGGCTCAGTCTCCCCCTCTTCGTCCTCCCATTTTGGAAGATGGAGTTCGAGAAGCACTAGCTCCGAACTCCCGTCCGCTCTTTTCCGTGGAATCGCACCTTATGCAGCACATACCAGCTTGGCGCAGGAGGGTTTTCGATCCCTGGGCGCTCAAAGTAGTGTCTCACGGGTATCAAATTCCACTTCGGTCTCCTCCTTCTCTGAATCCTCACCCTCCCTCAGGTCTTTTGCAGAGGGACGAGGTCAAGGCGGAGACAATCCGACAGGAAGTAGCAAGCCTTCTGGAGAAATAGATACGCCTTGTGCATCACCAGGTCTGTGCACAGTACTGTATGTCTTCACCATGTGCTAAGACAGGTGACCAAGCTGCTACATACCTCGACGACTGGTTAATACACAACCGGGACAGGGAGGTCATAGTGGAGCACGTGCGGTTGACGCAGACGCTCCTGCACGAGTTGGGCTTTTAATTAAATATTGCCAAGTCCATCCCAATATCGTCCCACAGCCTAGTGTTTCTGGGTATGCAGTTCGACATTCAGAAGCGATGCGGCTCGCTTGTAGTGTCGTACATCAACAAGGAGGGGGGGACACGTTCCCCACGTTGTCGAAGCTAGCGAAGGAGATTCTCCTTTGGTGCCTGGAGAACCAAGTGGAGCTATCGGCTCACCACCTTCCGGGGATACGCAACAGTGTCGTGGATGCCCTTTCGAGACGTACTCGGTTCCAGGATCCCCCAATGGGTGGCGGACGGACGCTCTACCGATCTCTTGGAGCCAAATAGACGCTTACGCCTTTCCACCCTTCCATCTGGTGCACCAAGTGTTGGAGAAGTTACGACTCTAGCCCACCCGTGTTCTGACGTTGGTGGCGCCCAATTGGCCAGTGAAGATCTGATTCCCGTTGTTGCTGGAACTTCTAGTCGAGTCGCCAGTGGAGCTGCTGGATCTTCCAGATCTGTTGTTCCAGCCGGACGGCATGCTACCAATGAGCCCAGTGTTATTCTATCTTCACGTGTGGAGGCTAAAAACTCATGCAAGCGCAAGGCTTTTCTGCAGAATTGTCCAAGTTCCTCGCGAATCCAGATGGAAACTGTACTCTGATTGGTGTGACGGAAGGGAGATTGATCATCTCAGTCCCTCTAATAGCAAGGTAGCCGATTTTTTCCTTTATTTGTTTAATCAAGGGAAATCTATATCGACAATTCTTGGATATCGGTCAGTTTTATTCCCAGTTTTTCAAAATCTGCTGGACTGAAACTGGCTTTGAGTTCTATTATGATACAACTGTTTAAGTCTTTCCACTCGAAGAGGCCACACACCAAGGGGCTAACGAATCCTCCTGACTGGGACTTGTCGTTAGTTCTGTCTGCGTTACGACACCCCCTTTTCGAGCCTATGGATAAGGCAGACATGAAGCATGTCACTATGAAAACAGTTTTCTTTTGGCACTCAGAGATAGGGGCACTGTCCTTTAGTGACGGATGTGCCTCCTTTATGAACTCGCAAGTTATTCTGAAGACTCTGCTGGGCTTTCTTGTCAAGAATCAAATCCCAGGGCGTGACCCTGAGCCAATTGTCATCCCATGCCTCACTTACATAGTGGGCAAGGAAGACCGTCAGGAACGAATTCTATGCTCGGTTCGAGCTCTGAGCTGGTACTGCAATCACACCAAGGTGTCTAGAGGCAGTGAGAAGCGCATGTTTGTCTGTTATGGGCGGGGCAAACAGAGCCACCCTGCTTCGAATATCACCATTTCGCGGTGGATTGTTGATACGGTCGTGGAAGCGTATAGGTTAACTGCTTCTTCATCGGTTCATTGGAACGCCACCAGGTGAAGGCACACAAGGTGCGCGGGGTAGCTAACTCATTGGCTTTGATGTCTGGGGCCTCGCTCAAGCAGGTGCTTCGAGCAGGGTTCTGGAGATCTCAGAATGTCTTCATTAATTATTACCCACGAGACCTCCAAGCACTGCAGGAGGGCCTCTACAGGTTGGGTCCAGTGGTGACGGGTCAGACTGTGTTCGTTGACCCAGCTCATCACCAAGTTGCCCTATGCGGGAAAGTGTTAGCGCGATAGTGCCTTCAGCTGAAACCAGTCTCCTTTGCTTGACGCTACTGTTTTTCGTTCAGCGCTATCGAACCCTAGCAATATACGGTTTTGATGCATTAAAATTGTTAGGTGCCCTATTTGGTGTTCAGTTGACCGGCTTTAGTAGCCTCCCTATATTGGGGGGTCTACCCTCGGAACTTCCCCACCTTCGGTGAGCGTGCTACTCTGCCTTCAAGTAATAAATGGAATTTATTATTTCCACGGACTTTCTGGTAGGTGATGTAGTAAACTATTAGGGTTGTACAAACCCATTTGTTTACCTAATCATGCCTACCAGAAAGTCTGTGGAAACCGCCCACCTCCCCACAAGCTTCCGGCGACCCGTTGTCATTGGGGCTGTAATAAATGGAATTTATTATTTCCACAGACTTTTTGGTAGGTATGATTCGGTAAACAAACAGGTTTACAACCCTAATATTTTAGCTGTTCCTTGACTGTTCCACTGATATCTAAAGAGCCATTCATTAGATTTTGATGAAACTTGGTACATAGATGCTCTGGGTGAATGCACAGAGTTGATTAGGTTTGGATAAAAATCCATACATAAAATTAGCCTAATTTGCATAATGATTAGTCAATTTTCGGCTTTTCCACTGATATCTCAGGTACTAATCAGCACATTTCAATGAAACTTACATAGATACATAGGACGATGCAGACAGGTATGTGAATTATTAATTACCTAAATTGCATATTTAATCAATTTTCAGCTTTTGATATTTCAAGTACTATTACTTCATTACTTTTCAATGAAACTTGGTACATAGATGCTTTTGAACAATCCAAAGACCTGATTAATTTTAAGTAAAAATGCGTGCATATTAATAAACTAATTTGCATAATTAGTTAATTGTTGGCTTTACACTGATATCGCAAGTACTACATTTGTAATTATCCGATTTCAATGAATCTTGGTACATTGATGTTCTAGGACAATGCACAAACCTGATTAGTTTTGAGTTAAAATCAGTGCATATTAATTACCTAATTTGCATAATAAATCATAATTTTTGGTTCTAATTACATTTCAATGAAACTTCGTACATAGATGGTCTGTGATAGTACTTATCTTATCTTGGTACATAATGTGATCAAATTAGATTCAGGTTTATATACATCAATACTAATTACTTAATTTGCATAATGATTTACCGTTCGGCATTCCACTAATTTAGTTAGGATCAATCATCACCTTATAATGAAACTTTGTACATGTGCACCCTGAAACAATATACAGACCTAAATCATAATAAATGCATAATACTTGTTTAATTTGTAAAATAATTCATTTGGTTCATTGAGGTAATCCACAGACATGATTAGTTTAATGTTGATAAACATGCATATTGATTATCTATTATTAGCCCATTTCTGATATCTAAAATAATCCGATTTAAATTGAATTCATTGCAGATTTGCTCTGGGACTAATTAGACTAAAAACCATGGATGAAAAATCAAACGTATTTTCTGTATGTATTATAAATTTTGATAATGTGAATCACATTTTTTTCATGTTATGCATCTCAAATAGCGGACAAAAATTAGTTGCCAAGCTTCTTGTTTGAAAAACAAATCTTAAATTTTTAATTAATTTTAATACGTCTCCAATACTCTCAGCACATGGGAGTTCTTTCAAAGCTTTCTTTGATTATATTTATTATTTATTTATTACAGTAGAAATAAACTTTGTCTATCTTTTTCATACCGTTACTCACTCTTCTAAACATGATTGTATCTGTCTTTAATCTGTCTTTAAAATAATAGATAACAGTTTTTCATTCTTCTCTGTTCTCAGATGCAAACCAATAAATGTCAATACTTCACTGGTGACACAATGCACGAAGGTATTCTTGAAATACTTGGCCCATCCACTGGGTAAAGTGAAAACATGCTCATATACAGTAATTCTAGATATCGTGAAGGTACATGGTTATTTACTTCATACAGACTAAGTGCTTCTTTTAAATTAGGAAACAGAAAATAAACATGCATCGTTTTTTAGTCCCTGTTCGGACGGAGATTTGACCTCCGTGCGTGCGTCCGCACCTGTATCTTAGAAATGCCTGGACCAATCAAACTTCACGCATACATCATACATTACCAGTGTTCTCCCCAGGATGTAAACAGCGTGGCGGTCCCACCACAGTGCTTCGATTTGCCGCCATACCGGTCTGACACCGCCACGGTGATTAGCAAGACCGCCACAGTGCTTTTTTTATTGGGGAAATCGTCACGCTGGTCTGCCCGACCGGCACTCAAAATTAGGGAACACCACTAAAACGCTTCCGACCAGGACTATTGTCATATTGTTATTATACTTACGTACCGACCAACACACATCCTGCCAGTCATGGATTGTAATTTGTAAACAATAGACATATAGTCGTGCGATGTGGTAGCAGCTTTAAACAATACAAGTCATTTTTGTAAAATTAGCACCTCTTTTTTTTGTAAGTAAATACTTTCTGACGATAGACACAGTCTTTAGATTGAAAGCTAAAATTCTTTCAAAATCAATTCCACCCCGATGTAACATGGGCAAAGCTGAGTTCATGATCAGTTTACGCTACTCAAGAAAAAAATGTGTTTATTGCATGATTGGGTAAAATACATCTGAACTGTTATCATCGTGAATCATGTAAAAACTCTTCTTTCAAGACTTCTTTTACCTTTTAAAAATTGCTAGGTAATCATCTCTTTCGAAAACCATCATGCAGTTTTCATCTGAAATCCATACCAACACATCGTGCTACGACATCGCTTTACTTCCGCAATGTAATTTTTATGATCACTACCATTCGGAAAACTTAGGGTTCTACCAGCATTACCATGCGGCATTCTGATTGGTTAATGGCATTTTTGACCCATCAGGTCAAAGGACACATGCCGGTTAACTAATGCGTCACAACTATCATGGTGGGTCTGTGTTTTTCACCGAAGTGATGGAGTGATCACAAATAATTGCTCCCGATAAAACTAATTCAAATTTTACATTTTTTTCATATAATAAAAAAGAAGTATAATTTTTTGCATGGCATCATGACTGAGTAAGAGGAATTATTGGTATAACCGGTGTATAACATCGCGAAGTAAGTTATGTCACGTCATAACTTTGATGATCATTTGGAAGTTTTATTTGTTTGTTCATTACTGAAAATGTAAACGTTGTAGAAGCTGATGGTCGGAATAATAACCAGCAATCCGCCAAATAATTTCGTGGTCGATTTTTGGAGAATTTTGTAGTAAATAAGATCATGAAAGTCGTGAACAAAATCCTGGCTGAAACATTTCAAATGAGTTTCATTTAACCTTTTACAATTTATTTGTTTCTTTTTAGTCTGCAGCATTTGCATTTTGAGAAATTCTGAATGTTTCATTTTTAAATTCAAACTCTTCTAAACTGAAACGTAATATTTTGACTCCAATAAAAAAAAATATTTGCACTGTGACCGAGCTCATTAATATTACAAAAGTGCCCGAAATAAAAGTGTTTATAACACTGTGTGAAGCAAATAAATATTTGCCACTAATTGTTTTTGAAAATATATGTTGTTTATTGTGTGGGTGTAAATGTGATTTGGTCAATTCCTATTATTATTATGTAAATGATATGCAAATTATATGCAAATTAAATTCCCGGGGAGAACACTGCATTACATTATACATATGCACATCAACTTGTTTTTCACGATCTGATTCAAGATGGCCGAATGGCAGTCATTTTTGTTCTAAAATAATCAAAATTAAGCATTTCTCAGCTGTTTACAGATGGATTTTGTTCACACTTGGTATATACATTTGATGTTATAGGACCTTGATGCACATCATTTTGTTTTTCAGATAAGATTCAAAATGGCCGACTGGCAGCCATTTTGTTTTAATGAATGTGATTCTAGTGCCATATCCCTGACTTGCTTTGACTGATTATGTTCAAATTTTAAATATTCATTATACATCATGTCATAGATATACAGATATATTGGTTTGACGATCCTATTAAAATTGGCCGAATGGTGTGCTAAAAAAATCATTAAATATCAAGCATTTCTGGCATTTATGAATGGATTTTGTTCATACTTGGTACATACGTTAGACATTACAGGATCCTGATACACATCATTTTATTTTCAGATAGGATTCAAAATGGCTGACTGGTGGCCATTTTGTTTTAATGAATGGGCTTCTAGAGCCATATCTCTGACATGCTTTGACTGATTATGTTCAAATTTTATATATTCATTATACATCATGTTATAGATATATACATGTATTCATTATGCTGTTTCAGAGCAATATTTCTCAATGTGGACAAAGTACTTGTTTGACAATCAGATACAAATGTCAATCATTTTAATGCTTAACAATCATCGTAATCATATTCCTGACATGGTTATATTCCAGCTATATTACTATAAACAAAACTATATATCTTAAATTCGATAACTAACAGGGACTGTGCCATGCATGGCTTGTTTTCATATTAATCAAGCCTGTAGCCAAATGAAAATCATGCCCATTCGGTCAATTAACAAAATATATTTAAAAAAATTACAATAAAAGTGTGTGAAATGTTCCATAAAAATGATGGCATTGAAAGTTTAGAAAATGTGAAATCTGCAGTTAAAATTTAAATGATTTGTTTTATTTATTTTCCCACAGTCCTGTTAACACATTGCCTGCTGGAGCTTTTTTATACAATAGGTCTTGGCAATCCCTGACTATCTGGTGGAAGATATCGGCAGTAGATGTATTAAATGTTGAATCATTTATTGCATGGTATTTACTATATTATCTCCATTGTAGGATGCCCTGGGAATCACGCAGGTAACACAGCCAGGTTTGCTGACATATTCCAATGTCAAATTTTTATTGGATTCACAGATACTTTATGAAATCAGTTGTTTTGGCATGACTGATGGCGATGAACAGGTAAAGTAAATTCAACCCTGGCTTTTGATTTCATTGTTTGTGTACATACATCATCCAGCTAACAAATAACCAAACATGACAGTACTTGATTTCTTACAGTACTATAAAATACTTTATTTTCACTTGGATGTAATTTTCGCTATTTTTGCTGAGGTAATGATTCAGTGAAAATAAAATATAACAATAATATATGATAACATCTGTAAAATGTTTCACTTATCATGCTTTACCATCATTTATTTAGTCCTCATTATTTTATATAATTAATAAATTTTTCAGATTTCTTACCACATGCAACATTTTTATGAAGCAATAGTATTTATTATTCCACTTTGCAGGTATCTTTGATGGCTAGGCAGATATTACTGTATCTACTACAAAGTAAATTACTGATGAGTTCAGCAGTGTGGAAACAGTTTATAGATGTCTTGTTACCAGTTATATCTATACTTCAGGTTAGTAATTCAGAAAAAGTATCAGTTAGTGTCAAGATGACATGCTTAGTGTGTGTGTCCAGTGTGTGCATGTCGAGGTATCAAGGAGGTTGTGGGTTCACTCAGCTCACAGTAATACCAAATCAGCAGTATGTATATTTCTTTCAAACCATTAAATACAAGGTTTAATGGAATTACGTCCTTTCAGTTTGAGTATTAACCCAGAACAGACTGTTATAACTTCTCAAACATTCATGAGCAAATTTCATTCAAACTTGGTACATATTAAATTCTTTTAGTTTTATTTATTAGGGAAAGTCAAGAAATTTTATAACATTTGGCTGGTGAAAGTTTTATTTCTTACACAGACCTGTAAATTATATAATTGTGAACATTTTCTGGTTACCGGTACACTTTACTACCTATGTCATGCATTTATCTACTAACCTTTAGGCATATGTGGAGAAGCAAACCAATCTAGGCACCAGTATATTAGATATAATTCATTGCAAACCAGAAGACAAAGATAAAAAAGGCGAACCATTACTACCCAAATTGGATCACTTTAGATGTAATCTGCGATTGATGTTTTCAAAGAGTTGCAGGTATGAAGCACTATCACAGATAAAAAAAACAAAGACTTTGTCCTGTACACCTAGTACATGCTGAGCCTGTGTCCATACATTGAGCGATTTTGTTGAGTCTTTGCATAAGATGATTTATTTAAAAATAAATAATAAATGTGCTACAGAGAATAATTTTATGGTTGTGAAACAAAAACAGAAATAATAGTTAATTTAAACAGAGTGTTTAAGGTAGAGATGCAGTTTATTTGGCTTGCTTTTTAATTGAGTAATTAGACAATGAAGATGGTATTATATATCCAACATGTTATATATTTTCTGAAAGCTTATTATACAAACTTTGTAAAACTTGTCTTTATTTTAAATATCCAGAATGCGTTTTTGATTTTGGTTCAAAAATATGCTTTTTTGGACAAAAGTGGTTTAAAAAAAATTAGCTTAAAAACTTCAAGTACATTTGTGGGTAAAATTACATCACTGGATACCTTGGTATACTACTAATTCAAATGCGTCCACTCATCTCTAACGACTTTCAAAGTCGCACAGCATGACCTCAAAGTTCACTCTTTTCTATTTTTGCATAATTTATATATCCATGTTAATTGCGGACTTGTTATTTTTGTTCCACTCGCCGTAATAAACTGTCCGGACGCATTTTGAAGGGGAGCACCTTGTCAATAATGTGTGAAAATTTCGAGGCAAATGGCCAAAG